TTTGAGTTAAAAATCTCCGTTTGTGTTCTACTAAAGAAACAAAGTCACCTACATCTTGGATGCCCTGGGGGTAAGCCGATAAACATCAAATTTTCATTTTTGGGTGAACTATCCCTTTAAAGAGTGTGGCAGAGCAATGAAAGAAATATATCATTTGTTCATGTAAAAAAATACATAATAAATGGTATTTAGTGTTAGTATGAACCCTACCTTTATTATACCATTTAATTTTATTATTTGAATGTTCATGTGGCTAAGGTTTTCCGATTGAAATAAAGAACAGAAATGAACAGAAAATAATATGGTTTTGTGGTCTTAATATTTATTTAAATCAATTATTTTTTGTATTTTTATAGAAATATCTAAAAAACAACACTGTGTTGTTCTATAAAATTCCTCTTCCTCACCCAAACTTTTACTCTTTTCTCGAAACATTTCACTAAAATGATTCATTCTGGGGCAGCTTTCGATGGGAAATACAAATTGTACTCACTAATTTGAGTGTGATGAGTAGTTGGCCATAACAGAACACGATGGTGCCGAAAGGAACCGCAAAGCAGAAGCTGAACAAAAACATGACGTAGGATTCGTTGTTGTATTTGTTGTTAGTGGTATACCAGTCAGGTCCACAGGAGCACTGCAAACCTTCAGGTATGTACCTGTAAGAGAGATCTCAGTGAAATCGATGGCACAGACAACAGAGTGAGGATTTCACTTCTAGACTTGAACTAGTTGTTTAGGAGTGGAGCAAAAAGGTGCTAGGTGTTGGTTTTCTTTCTTCGGGTTAAGTGGAGGGAGGCACTGTGGCTTTGTTTTTATCAGTGTGTTATGAGCAGTGGGACTTACCGGCTCCAGCCAAACAGTGGAGGGAGTGAAGCTGCCATTGCACTAATCCAAGGAAGTATGCAGCCAGCTATGGCATGAGGGGTTTTGAAGGTAAAGTTCCCAAGGGGTTTGCAAATGACCAGCCACCTTTCAAATGCCACTACAGCAAGAGACCACAAACTCACCATTCCTGCAAAAACAGAAAAACAGTTTACTGAAACTATCTGTGAACTACAATGAACTACAGAAGCTTGAAACACAGAAGCTTTAAAATAATGTGGATGCTTGTTGCATTTTACCTCCAAGCGTTGCAAGGAAGCCCTCAATTTTACATGCTGTCGCCCCAAAGATAAAGTACCTATTAAAGAAGGAGTAGAATGATAACGGGGAACCAAAAATGGCCACGAACAGGTTGGCAATGGAAAGGTTAACAAGAATATAGTTAAGGTGAGATCTGAGTTTCTTGAATTTAATTGTGCAAACAATGGTAAGGATGTTGATTGAAGTCCCTCCGACGAAAATAAAGAACATAAAGAAAGACATGGCCATGAATACGCCTTGGTTTCCCAGGTGGTCCTGGGGGACCAAAAAAGGGCTGTAAGCTGAGATGTTGTTGATATCTAAAGGGATGGGGATGTAGAAGTCTTCTTGAAACTCTGGTACTTGCTTCATCTTGCTTGAAACTGGCAACCACTCCACCGAGAACGCTATAACGCCTTAAAGCTTAAATCAGTTGTGTTATTTCCTTCGCAGATTACTGCAGCATCGCAAAAAAATAAAGTCTAACCCGTATCGATGTAAATTCTCTCTTGGTTAATGACCAGATGAAGCCTCCCTCAATCGATTTCCAAGTGATCCATCTTTTATAAGGATTCAAAAGATTCCTTTTCGCTCCTCCCAAATGGTCTTAATGGAAGGATTTGTGTTTTGTTGTCATCTACCAAACACACAGGCTCTTGTGCACACACACACAAAACTACATCTGTGTATTGCGAGACATACAATTCACCTAATCTCATTTCCAACACCAAAACCTGGCTAATTCGGATCATCCCTTTCACCATGCAGTGTGGTTCTGAGTTAGCGATGGCAGGTAATCTGCTGCACAGTGCAGATAATGCAGTTAATCACTTGCAGTTAACCCCTCTTTAATCTGCTTCCCATCGTATTATCTCCAGCTTTGAGCCTGGAATCACGGCCTTTGTGAAGAGCCTTAAATACCTGACAGCTGAAATGCCCTTGACACTCGTCTGTAGAGGGTTCTTGTGTCAGAGCCGAGAAAGGAACTTCAGCTTATATTTTACGTAAGTAAAATCTAAGCAAAAAAAAAAAAAGGATAATGTGAAATGCAGTGAAAAACATGCTTGTCAGCACACTGCATCACACATAGAAATAATTATGAATTGTCAATAATGACTTCACAGACACAGCATTTGATTGTATTGTTGATGTTCATGACTGTTCATTATTTTAGGTTATTTCATGTTCTGTATTTTGATTAGACAACCTTAGATTGCTTTATGAAAGTTGAAACAGAATGATCTATTTCAGCTTTCATAAAGCTGTATAAAGGGGAGCCTATGAAGATTTTATAATTATTAATTAGTTAAAGTCAAAAGTCAAAGTTTATTTATAAAGCACTTTTTAAAAAAACAGCAAGTGTTTATTAAAGTGCTGTACACACATAAAAGAATAAAAATATCAATGATACAAACAGTCAACAACACAAAAGAAGACAATAAGACACCATAAAGACAATAAAAGAAAGCAGCTATCATGTAGCGTCAAATGCCAGACTATAAAAATACGTTTTTAGGCTGGATTTAAAAACAGCAAGTGTTTGAGCCTGTCTAATGTAGAGGGGCAAACTATTCCAGAGCTTTGGGGCCGCCACTGCAAATGCTCGGTCACCCCTGCTCTTCAACTTTATCCGTGGGACAACTAAAAGCAAATGGTCAGCAGACCTATAGTGCTCTTAGAGGAGCATACAGCTTGATCAAGTCGGACAGATATTTAGGTGCTAAACCATTAAGAGATTTAAAAACAAATACCAAAATCTTAAACTGAATCCTAAAATGGACAGGTAACCAGTGAAGAGAGGCGAGAACGCGGGTGATGTGTTCCCGCTTTCGTGTACCCGTCAGCAAGCGAGCTGCCGCATTCTGGACCATCTGCAGTCTGGAGAGAGAGGCCTGACTAATACCTATATAGAGGCCATTACAATAATCCAGACGAGTTGAAATAAAAAAATGAACGATTCTTTTAAAGTCTTTAAAAGACAGGAAAGATTTCACTTTGGTGAGTTGTCTCAATTGGAAAAAACTAGATTTAATTACCGAGTTAATCTGTTTGTCCAATTTAAAATCACAATCCATGATACCACCTACATTTTTTACATAGGGCTTCACAAGTGGTTTCAATTCACCAAGGTCCAAATCTGATAACTCATAAGTATTAGGCCATCCACGCCTTAATTTCCACAAGACACTGCAATTGGGGCGCTAAAGAGCAAATATCTTTTCGTTTCAGAGGCAGATAAATTTGCGTATCGTCTACATAACAATGAAAAGAAATACCAAATTTCCTAAAAATATGTCCAAAGGGGAGCATATACAGGGAGAACAGAATAGGCCCCAAAGTGGAGCCTGGGGGACCCCACACGTGAAAGAAGCAGTTGAGGAGACAAAGTCTGAGAAAGTTATTTCGGACAAATAGGATCTAAACCATCCCAATTCAGTACCCTTAATACCAACCGGGTGTGTCTCACACGTCCTGAAAAGTGAAGCTGCGGGCTCTTTGATTGCCCCCGGTGGCTGGCTGCAGTACAGGTCATAAACCCCGCCCTCTCCATGTAAACGAATGGGACTTGAGTCAAAAAAAAATAATTAATTACACTTCCAATACAATTTTCCGAAAGATGGTTTTGGTCATTTAAGGTAGTTGTTATCACGCTGATGTTCAATTGTTCGTTTTTGTGATAAGTTTGATTTTAGCTAGTAATTTGATGCTATAAAAACGGGGCGTGTCGTTATGGTTGATTGGGTCTGCGGGAGTTTGGGCGGGAGTTTGATACCACGGCTCCACCTCACGACACTACTGCGCAGACTCTGGCTCCAAACGAATCTCTACTGCGCAGACTCTGGCTCCAAATTACATCATTTACTCAAGATGGCAGCGGCCATACTGAGATGCTTTGGCTTCACTTTTCTATAGTGGAAGGAATAGGAGATGCGTCGTCCATCTTTTTTTACAGTCTATGATACCAACACATTGTTCTAAGCGTGTAATCAAGATCTTATGGTCTATTGTTGTATTAATTAAATACAATAGTATTTAATTTAATACAACTGAGTTGTATTAATTAAAGTCAATAAATCCAGTGCACCCACTGTAAATGACAGAAAATGTGCTAATGACACGGGTACACATTTTTCGTCAATAAATACACTTAATGAGGTTAATAATCACACTAAAAGTGAATGTTACACAAATATAGTATTACATAAGACTATACAAACCTATACACTGTAAAAAATTATAATTTCAGTAAGTCACGGCAACTTATGTTTCTAAATTACTTTAATTTATCAAAATAAATTGAGCAATTTCAACTTTTTTATGTTATACAAAAAAAATACATGAGTTTTTTTAATTTGGTTTAATGCAATTTAAGTTGAAAAGACTTGTGCAACCAAGTTGATTATACTTAATTCATGGCAGCAACTGTACTTTGAAATAAATTGATTTTTATTTACAGTGATAAAAGAAGAAAATTAATTTACAGATTTACAGGATGGAGTCATGGAAAAAAGCCAAAGTTTATATGTACCTTATTGGTTTTGTTGCTCCAATGAGATAATGAGTAACAAACCTTCATTTGTTTAGAGTAGCCATTAAAATAAACTTATTATGAACTTAACACAATTTAAGGTTAAAGTCGATAATTGCTTATTGACAACATAACAACTGAATTATGTGATAAAAAATAATAATTGTAATATAATATGGTTAATTAATTATTAAAAGTCAACTTGATAAGTGCAACTCTTCATACTAGTACAGTTTGAAACTGCAGTGCACTGTTCACCCTTTGCAAAAATGGAGTTGCTGTGTTAATGCAAATAAATAAATAAATGAAACTTCAAATGTTTCATAAAGTGTTTCCCATACATTGATTTATTTGTGGTGCCCGCCACAAAATCAAAACTGACCGACACAAATAGATTTTCCAAAAGGCTTTGACTTTGTTGAATAAACATGAGCACGGCACGTTTCAAAATCGAAACCCGATGCAGGTGTTTTTATAGCACTGTATAATTTCTGAAGGAAACCGACTGTCTTCAGAAAATTTTGGATGTCATTTTAATTTCATCTTGCATGTAATGTCTGATAAAGCAGCATTTGTGCAAGTCTGTGGGAAACACAAATGTAATTGCAATGTGAGGTGTCACTTTAAGTAATAAATAATATTGTAATGGTTTTCATATAATTACAGCTTGTGCACTTGTGCATCCTGTGAAAAGTTACTGCGTGAGCAAAGAGTGGGATTTGAGTTAACGTCTTCTGGCTTATAATACTCCTCTGAGCTAATCACTCCCTGAAAAGTAAACCGCAGATTTCCCATATACCATGTAGCAAAGATAAAAATTCCCAACTAAACATTCAACACCAGTATATTTACTTACTATAAACGTTAAACATACTTTACTTATTATGTTTCAGTATTTCTAGTGCCACATAAGCTTGCATGAAAGTCATCTGGGAAGTAGGAAACTTCAACAAGAAAGAAAGAAAGAAAGAAATGTAGGTTTAGGGTGGGTATAAGGAGTATTAGCACACATCATGTCATTATCATGTCATTATCAAAATTATCATTGTCTTAAAATCATTCTCATTTCCATATCATCAAAATCCCTGTAGATGAGCCTTTTTTTCTGCCCATTTTGTCACCCTCTGTGGTCAAAGCTCTGTCCCCTCCCTCTTCTTCTGTTTTAATCTCTGGTCTTCCTCACTTGTATGACCCATATGATGATCTGTTTAGTGGCTTAGGACTAATTATTGGACTTGTGCTAAGGCTCTTAACTACCACAGTCAGTGTAGACCAGTTAAGAGGGGTGCCTGAGGTAAAGACACCTGTAAGTGCGTCACATAGTTATCTCTAGCCTATTAACCTGCTTCAGAGCTGAGTTTGTGTCAGTATGTCTACAGCCATCTTATAGTTTTATTCACCAGTCTTAGTGATTAACATTAACAAGCGAAAGTGCAATAACACAGACAGAAGCAAACACATGCTGTATAAATCACAAGTTCAAAGTTATTTCTAAAGCACTGAATAAAACAACAACGTTGACCATAGTGCTGTACAAACAGTAACACAATGAGCAGAAGACAATTTTTAAAAAGGGATCACATCCATATAACTAAATAAGTAAAAGAAACCTTAAAAAAGACAATCAAAATACATCTTAAAATAGGATCAGAAGAGGCATATATGGCACTAGCAACCTTCGCACTTATCTATGATCGAACACTATCATAAAAAAAAAATGTTTTCAAATAGCTTTAAATCTGACCGAGCGTCAGTACGTCCCTATATAGCGGCAGGCTGTTTCATAATTTAGGGGCAGCGACCGCAAACGCGGCGATCCCCTCTAGATTTCATCAAGGAACAACAAGAAGTTTCTGTGATTGAGATCGAAGGGATCTTGTTGGCTTTTGTTCCTGAATTAGATCAGCAATATAAGATGGAGCTAAGCCATGCAGAGATTTAAATACAAATAATAACATTTTAAAATGAATCCTAAAAGAAACAGGCAACCAATGCAATGATTTTAACACCGGGGTAATATGATCTAATTTA